CGGGGAACGGGGAACGGGGAACGGGGAACGGGGAACGGGGAACGGGAAACGTGTGTGCAGCGGTAACCCACCTGAGAATTCAAAATGGCGGAGAAAGGAAAAGAAAAGGGAAGAATATGGGGAAATGTGAGGAAGTTAAAGGTGAGTTTCTACCGGCTATGCCCCCAGATGATCAGTACGTTCTTGTTAGAGCAGATTCCGATTGGTGCTGGATAAACAAAGCATGAAATGGCGCCTTGGGAGAAAATCGAATCGGTATTATCGCATGCTACCCCAATCAGTCGGTACAAAATGCAGACTGCTGACTGCAGAACGGGTACAAAATGCAGACTAGGTACAAAATACAACTGCACACTGCAGACTACAGGCTAGGTACAAAACGCAGACCGCGCTGAGAATAAAGACGGCTTACTGTATTTTGCGAAACAAAACGAAACGAAACGAAACGAAAGGAATAAACCTGTCCTGGAATGAACATATGAAGTATCACAACAGTCAGATTCCTCCATGCGATAACCTAAACAAGGAATAAAACAGCGGAAGGGTAGAATTTGTAAATTCGAAGATCTGTATTTTGCGAAACGAGCTCTTCGAAGGTTGTGACGATATGTAACTTATTTCTTCCGATTCTTTAACACTTTTCGTAGACACAACTCGATGCAGTGATGGTTTTAAAACAGCAAGCTCAAGCCGAAAGGTCACAAGTGCCCCGTCTCGCAAATTACAGATTTCATGTAGTTTGCGAAATACGAGACTGACATTTGCGTGACTGCCTTACTTCTTTTGTTACCAAGGTGATAAGTATTACCTCAACAGTAACAACAGCAGCCTGTATTTCAGCCGCCTCCTCCGCTCGCTAAGTAGGGAGTTTTAGCAAACCAAGACGGCGACGGCAAAGAGAACGTCACCAAACAAAAGGTTTAATGAGCAGAACAATGGTTCTCCACGCGCGTTTTGAATCTTTGTAAATTTCTTTGCCGTCCTCTGCAAAACAACAACGTGAAATGACAAAGTCGTACGTATTTTTGGAGAACGTGTTCCGTAATGGCTAATTACATATTAAGCCCGAGCAGCTGTTTAGACTGATAGGGGTACTGAACAGATCTACACAGTTGCGACATTCGAGGGTAAAATATAAATACTTTTTTTCACACCGTCGTCCTCGGCGTCGCCGTCGTCATTGCTAAAACTCCCTAGCCAATCGGGGAGAGAGATGTCTGAAAGCACTGGACGATAATGCTGTCCGGTTACGTCACTACCCAAAAACCTGGTAGTGCTTCTGATTGGTTGCCGTGTTAATTTATTCGCCCGACTCGAATAATTCAGAATAATTTTATTGCCAAACTTCGCGCGTTCAAGATGGCGGAAGAAAATCGCGAGCTAACGCAACAAGACCTAAAGCCGTTTCTGGTGTATGCTCGACATTTGGGGTTCCAAAACTTAATCCACAACAAGAAAAGGCACTTTCAGAATTTTCTAGCGGAAGCGATGTATTCGTAAACTTGCCTACGGGATATGGAAGTTCCTTAATATATCGGATGGCTCCACTCGTGGCAATTGAACTTTCAAAGCAGCACAGCCGTTTTCCAACGAAAGCATAGTCGTTATTATTTCGCCAATGTTTGCTTTACAGCGGTTATCAATGACAAGCGACCTTCAGCGCAAAAACGAATTCACAAAACCTAAGTTTTGGTGGACGTCAAACACGGCGTCGACAAAACATGGATCGGACTGGACCGGATCACGGATCGGATCACGGACCGGATCACCGACCGGATCACGAATCACCAAAAAAAACCAAAGTTCTAAAGAAAAAAAAAATCCAAAAAAAAAAAATTCAAATCGTTTATAAGGTAATAATAAATAAAAAATATAAGTGGAAAACTAAAATAGGTTAAATGAAAATAAGAATCCCGAATTTGACGCAATGACATGTTAATTGCGGAGGATGACAAGAGGCCATTTAAAAAGCCACATAAGCGCCTAATTTACGACGAATTTAAATTGTAATGAACGGGCAGATGTAGTTATATTTGAAGGTTAGTTGGCTCGAAGCTTGCGTGAACCTCCCATTCTCGTTTTTGAAATTAAATTGTTAGTAGCAGTAGCTAATTCTCGGCTACATTTTCGTGTCAGATGTGAGCGTTACAGTTAATGTGAAAACTTACGGACGAAAGCTCAATCTATCCCTACCACGGGACCAATTTTGGTTGCTCCAGTAACCACAGATTGAAAGCGTGACAGAAAATTGGCGTTACTTTCGATTCTCACCAAATTTGGACAGTGGGATGATCTC